AGTCGTGAGGATCAACGACAGGGGACCCTTCGTTGCCGGACGTATCCTCGATGTGAGCCAAGGGGCCGCACAGCACCTTGGTATTATTGATGCAGGACTATGCCAATGCTCTATCCATAATGTTTAACGTAAACGATCGCTTTCCCTCGATTAAGTGGACATGGGCTCAACATTCAATATATTTTTAATTGTTTTTATTATAATTACAGTTATTTATTATAGTAAAATTAAAAATTTATTTATTTGTGAATATTCAGTAATAATAATAATCCTTTATGATTATAATTATATACAGTAACTATCCTCTATAATTATAATAATTTGTTTATAATTAGTATACAGTAAATTAAAATTTCCGAAAATTATTAAAATTAATATTAAGTTTTATAAACTAAAATCATTTACTATTTATAAAATTCATTAAATTATACTATATTTATAAATTATTTAATAAGTTCTTCTTTAAAAGTTATGTCATAAAATTCTATAAAATTAAATTATTTAATAGTAAAGTAATAATTATAATATCAATTATTAGGGTGTTTATGAAAATTACAGAAATATCTGTTATCTAAAATTATTAGTTTCATTAAATAAATATGTTTTATTATTTAAATAAGTTACGGAAAATTTTATATAAAACAAATACTATAAGTATTTATAACAAAAAGGATTTCCTAATACAGTAACTATTTTGTTGCTTATGTGTGTTATTATTTGACTTCTTATCCCAAAAACACCTGCATCAATTCTCAATGATTTCAACTTTGATTTTCTATAAATTGGCTATAAATATAAATTTCAATTTTATTCAACAAGCAATAATTGTTGATTGTCGAAACTACAATCAATAAGTCTAAACATAAAATTATGAATAAGTTTATAGTGTTTGGGTTTATTGCAGTCACTCTGCTCTGCCTCGTCTCTGGTCAGTCATCTAAACATATATTTTGTGAATTTAATTAATAATTATTTTTTAAGGTGAGACTGGTATCTGTTCGTGGTATGGGGTAGGACTGGACGGTCAATACACAGCGAGTGGTGAAAAATATTATGGCAACTTAATGACAGCCGCCCATAAGACATTGCCGTTTGGCACTCATGTTAAGGCCACGTGTAATGGCAAGTCTGTGACCGTTAAGATCAATGACCGGGGACCTTTTGTGGCCGGACGTATACTGGACCTGAGCGTAGCAGCCGGTGCTGCCGTTGGTATTAAGGACAGCGGTCTCTGTCAGTGTACTGTTGTCACGGTTTAGTCAATATTTTTTGACAATAAGCTTATTATTATTAAAGTTAAAACAATAAATTTGTATTGTTTTACATTGCGAGCTCACAATTAAAACAATTTAAAATAAACAAAATCAGTTGTAGAAATAAATTCTCTACGAATAAATTTAATTTTGTAAAATTTGTGAATAAAATCAATTCAGATTACAAATAAAGATGATTTTACTTTTGGCCTCAATTTTATGTAAGCTTAACATTAAGTTTATTGTTATTAAACTTTAATTAATTATTTTCAGACTTACACCAAATGATCATATTCTGTGAATCAGTAGACTTTTGTAAAGAATTCAGAAGCAATAACAACAGAATTAGTTTTGGGTTTCGACACATTCATTCTGAATACAAGTCTCACATGTATTTAGTAATCGACCGTTTCTTCTGGACATTAAAATACGACAACAAATGGTTGGCCTCTAATATCGTCTCTTTAGACACAAATGCTGGTGAAGACAACGATTTGTTTTGGGATCAGTTCGGTATTGCCTTCACTATAATCAATCACAATGGACGTGGTTTCAGGACTGCACTCATTCCTGTAAATACCTATAAATTGTGAATTGAATAATAATATTCATTAAAATAATATAATTTTGTTAGAGAATAGAAAATAAGATCTATTGGGTTGAGTTTGAAGGCAAATATATTTCTAAATCAAAGTGTATTGGCTCTCAACATATTGAATTTGACACCTTTAAGCCTTGCATAGCATTTGCATTGAGTTATATAAATCATAATTCAAATATTATTTATTTTTTGGAACAAATGCCGCAATATTCCGGAGAATTTATCAGAAAAGCTAAATATTTTCAATTTATTTCTAACGATAATAACTTGACTTCAAATGTTAAAATTGATGCCAAAAGTGTAATGTCTGACCACATGAAAGCTATCGATGAGTTGAGTCCCAAACTTAAAGTGATTGCAGTCTTCAGTCTTGGAAATGATTTTCTGGCACCAAATGTTACGATCAAAACACAAAGTTTTCAGAAATATA